TACCTTACAACCGACATGGTAGATCTCCACTAGTCACGGCTTGATAAAAAATATAGTTCAATTGTCATGAGATTTCATACATATAAGGAAAATGTTAATTGACATATGATTAAGTGACTTACTCCACTATTGACCAGAATTTTCTAACACAAATACAACAGTTTAACATTAAAATTATTACTCCCATTAACAACAACAGTATAATAACAAAGTAATGTATATCCATTCCAAACTATATACAGGTAGTTGTATAATTTCCAGCTTTCTTCTAGTTAAAAAATGGACATAATGGGTCAATTGATGCTAGACCACCATGGGAAATCTGGAATCAGTGGACGGCCATTTCATTCAATGGTGGATATGTCACTCAATTTCGTGGATTAGTTGAAATTAGACACTAACACCATTGGATGGTGATTGGCTCAGTGGTCTAGTGATTAAGCACTGGCACGTGAGGCTGACAGCTCCTGGGTTCGAATCTCGCGAGTCAAGATCATGGATGCGCACTGCTGAGGAGTTCCATACTAGGAAGAAACGGCCATCCAGTGCTTCTTGGTTTTCTATTTTAGTCTAACTTCAACTGCCCCATGATTTCAACTATTGAAATTTTGATTTCATTAATATTCCACATTTTAAATCATTTACACTATGCATTTCTTCTAAACACAAATTCGGTTACTTACCCAAAGGATCCCCTTGAAGAAATATAGATATGCAATCATTGTGAGAAACTATACCATGGTGATGTAATATATCTGTATCCATCTTCAGTTGATATACATTTCCACCTTATATAATGGATGGGAAGTTGTGCAAGATTATGAGTCAAGTGGAGTTAGACATTAACATTATTGGATGCTGACTCAGTGGTCTATAAGTTAAGAGTTTGCGCGTGAGACCGAAAGTCATGGGTTTGAGTCGTACGTGTAGGATAGTGAATACGCGCTTTTGAAAAGTTCCATACTAAAACAAAACAGCTGTTCTAAGCTTCCATGTTTTTGATAGTATTCCAGCTTAGATCAACGCATAAAGTCAACTTTAATATATATAAATTGAGAACTCAATTATATCAAAGTATATAGATTTATGGTGCACAATAGGTGAATTATTCCGAAATCGATGAAGTCAAAGTGTCGAAGGTATACAATATGAATAATTGATTTAAAAAACTCACTAGTGACTAGCTTCCTAAGGTAATTCTTGTGAGAAATTGCAATCAGTGCAGCTATTCTGTGTCAGGCAGAGACAAATCGCACAATTCCGTGAATTTGTTAACGTCAGATATGTCGGCCGGTTCAGTGGTCTAGACGTTAAGTGTGCGTTTGCAAGACCGAATGCCTTACGTTCGAGTCCTGCAAGTGTGATCGTGGATGAACACTACTGAGGAGTCACATAATAGGACGAGACAACCGTCTGGTGCTTCCAAGTTTACAATGGTGATTCAACATTAAACGATCCATAATCTTAATCAAGAACATAATACTTTTCAGTATATTCAAACTTTTAATCAAAGTGAAGTGTAAAATATCAACAAATTAACTTACTGCTCTTCTGTCATCAAAGAAGATTGTTGATTTCATACGTTAATGATATAAAAATTTAGTTATTTTAGCATTTTAAATGGATCAGTAAGTATCCTAGCTTTTTGATGGAGTTTTGTTCCTTGATCTGGATGATTTTTGTCGTGGAGTATCATCAGCAAAAACTTCAGGTAGAAGTCAAGTAAAAGAGTTCTATCTGAAGATTGTGCTGATGATGCCATACAAAAGAACGATGAAAGCTCCACAACCAAACCATCCAACTCAGAGAACAAAACTCCATCAAAATCATCCAGCTGAGCTATAAATCTTCTCCACCATCTCAAGTATCATAGCATAAATCAATCTGATTATCATAACATAGTTGTAAATATTCAATAGTAGAACATACGTTTACACTTAGATGATGATGATGATGATGATGATGAACCAGAATTACATGATTGTAATAGAAGTAATAGAGCTATAATGAAAGGAATCATTACTTCAATTCAATACAAGTATAAACTTGTAAACTACTTAAATACATTAAATTAAATATATGTATTTTCAGTGAATCAATTCAAACAGAATAGAGGTCTCTTCATTCTATTGTGTATGTCAGTCAGTACAATTCTGTATGTCTAACAGAGATGTTAGAAAACATTCATTATCCTTTACAAAACACTGATAATGATTGATAAACAATAACAATAATAACAATAATGATCGATAGAGACATTGGTGGTTGGTAATGTCGGAGTTAAGCTGAAAAACAAAGTATCAGATAGTTGTTTCACGCTAGTATAAGTCTGTTTAGTCGTACGTATCTAAAACCCTGCAAGGATTTGAACAAAAGGGATCTTGACATTAAGTGGTGATTCATCAGTGAATAATCCTGTGTTAGTTGTACTGAGTTGTCATAACAAACAAATTTAAAGCTTACTTGCATACTTACTTACTCCTGTTACCCCTAGTACAGGAGCATAGGCCGATCACCAGCATTCTCCATACAACCCTGTCTTGAGCATGCCATCCCAGTTCTTGCCAGTTGCTATTCCTCGTTGTCATATCGGCTTCTATTTCCCGACGTAATGTATTCTTTGGCCCTACACTTTTCCGCTTCCCTTCAGGAATCCAAGTTAGGGCTTGTCTCGTTATGCAGTTTGATGATTTGCGTAATTTATGTATCCTTTTTTCCTAATTTTCTCTTCGGCTGGAAGCTGGTTTGTTCTCTCTCACAGAAGGCTGTTGTTGATGGTGTCTGTTCAATGGGATGTTGAGAATCTTACATACATAGTTGCTTGTAAATACTTATACCTTCTTGATGATGATTGTTTTAGTTCTCCACTTTTCAGCTCTGTACAGTAAGAATGTCTTGATGTTCGTATTGAAGATTCTGACTACGAAATTGGTTGATGATTGTTTTGAGTTCCATATATTGTTCGACTGCAGGAATAGTGTACTTACTTTGTCAATCATCATATAATATAACAGTCGATCCGATGTCATAGACTACATTACTATTTACATCCAGGATTGTTATAACACCTAATGCAATCGACATTTAAAAAATAGTCTGGTGAGTGGTTGAACGTAGTCACTCGTAGACCATAATTCTGCCCTGCTTGACACTCACCAGCATAATATAAATAAAATCTGCAAAGAAATTGATGTTCCCTGTTGAATATGAACCAACGTCAATCACTCCTATAGTCACTATTACTGAGCGTAGGCTTTGGTTAGGCTCATACAAGACGGAGAATTATCAATTCCCTTACGGTTGCAGGTAGTCAGACCAAAAAATCTCAACCAACATGAAACTTATGCCCAGGCTTATTTGTTGACTACCTTCAACCAACTGGAATCTGAACATTGTGCACTGAATGTCAAGTCATTTTGACTACTGAGCGCGTCGCAACTTGGTAGACAGAATACGATTGTTGCTAAGATCTTTACGGATACTCTATTGATCAATAAAATGTATGTATATACTGATGTTCTGTCTTAATTCTATTTTAAAATGACTTTTTATTTTCATTTATTTAGTTTGTCTATTTCTGGAATGTTCTTGTTCACTTTTATTTGTCCCATCTGACTTGTTCCGCTTACACGACAGTCAAACTCATTATTGCCTTACAATGTCCCAATGACAATAGCCCTTGAGAATACTGAAAAGCAACCACCAGTATGAATGAAATCGGTTAACCAGCAAACCAGTTTTGTGGATGAATAGTCAGCAAAACTTGCCAAAGTAATGTTGAACTATCCACAATATCAATGGTGAACCTCCAGTATCATATGAGACCTTCAACTCTACATAGCCATATAGTTTGTACTGCATATAGCAGACATGTAGAGTAGTAAGCGAAATAGCCTAGCCTGAAGCGTTAGGGCTTAAATAACGCTTAAAACCCATTATTTGGTGTCGCAATACTATGACTAGACCACCAAGATCCTTTTGATCGCATTTGCGAAATTCTCGTTTTTCCGACTTTTCAGACCCTGAGTTAGGGTTAGCATCCCTAACAAGAAATTAGTTTCCACGAATAATAACCTCACTTAAATAATACACTAAGCTGTTTCGTTATGATAGCTGCTAATCACTGGATGAATCTTTAATTATGAACATAAAGATTTTCAGTAGTTAGATAGCTTAGATCATTAGTGAGGTCAATTTGTATCATGAACACTACGGAGATTTACTTATTTATGTAAACACATAAATATTGATATAAAGAAGCATTGAATACATATGCGCCAACTCAAGTCATTTGATTTGTATTTGGATAGTTATACTACCCGGCTGCCCTGACCGAAGCAGGTAGTATTATTAGAGGGCCACACCTGGAGCCTTCGACCTAAAGGTAACCGGTGACCAACAATTTGTGTACCATTGGTTTAAAATCAGGGTTCTCCAATTCCCTTAGGTAAACCCTCCAAGTACACTAACACAGTTAAAACGCCAAACATTTCGTAAACAACACCCTTGCCTCGAGAAGACAGCGAGTAGGACTTCCCCGACAGTGACTGTATACGCAGGGCTATGTGAGAGCATTTCGAGAGTGAGGGTGAACTCTCCCCACTCCTGGTCGTATCAAGGTATTTGAAGGTACAGAGATTCATAACAAACATTTGTCAGTTTGATTGAAGGATTGTCATGATTAATTGAAGTGAAATATTTTTGTTTTCAAAACAAAACAAAACATAGAAGAATAGTCATAGCCCACAGAGACCAACTGAAAATCTGAAATGTTTACTACACCACCCAATACACAATTATATACATCCACCTAATGGATAATACATGAATATACCTTTATTAATGTGCAAAATATGTCAGATAAACTGTCATATTTACTAAGTCTATCACATAAGCTAATCATATACCTGACTAGTTTAATAAGATGGTTATTGATAGCCAATTTGAATGAATTGAATAATTGGTGATATATATAAATCTCGACATTTAAAACAAATGCTTCTTAGTTCAATTTAACCATTACTTGAAATGATGATTATCGTTGTAATTGGTTTACTTCTTGTATTTCAAACATTACAGTCCGTAGAGACTAATACCAATGGTAAGTCTGTTAAGCAACAACATTGTTTGTTTGAATATTCTGATTGATGTGTAGGATTTCAATTGATCAGTCTCTTATTGGTTTATGCGCATACATTGAGGAGTTGAATTTAAATCTTCATCTTATTGCATAATCAAGTGGATATCAGGACTCAGTGGTGGAGTTTGAAGTGAATGATACAGAGTGAACAACAACACTGAGGAGCAGGCACATGGGGATGACGTGTCCTAAATAGAACGAAACGCGCATCTTGGATTCCACTGCTAGCTACTATCCATCTTTGTATCTATTTTCAGGTTTATTTCTTTGAGTTATTTGTAATCTCATGATTTGGGTTCGAGTCCTGTGTACGAGATCATGAATATGCACTGTTGAGGTATACTAATATTTGGACGAAACAGCCATTTTATTCTTTCAGGTTTTCAGTAGTATTCTAAGTGAGATCAATTCATGAATACAATACTAATCAGTCAGTTACCACTTCTTCTAAAAGCAGAAAATAATAACACGTAAGTCCGTTCATTGATATTCTGATTATTTCTCAAAATGACTAAGATCGTATGACTTTCATTATTACGCGGAAACAAGGTACTTTATAAAGAGTCAGATTCCTTTGGATATTAACTATGACTGTTAATACATTTACGTACATATTTATATCTTTGAATCATCTCTAAACACTATGTATACAAAGATTAGTTTGACTTTGTTATGACTTGTTGGTTTATACGTCTACCAATGCATAATGTGATGATACTGCCAATCAGAGAACATTCAATTATCGATCGAACCAATGACGCATAAAACGAGGACGAGTAGTCTAGAGTCCTGATCGGTCCTTCTTTCTTGTCTAGCCAAGCTAGTTGAGTCCAGAACACCAATCTCAGCCTCTGCGATATCAATGCTTCATTTTAAACATACTGGGTTTATATACCAACCAGACAGATCACATCGTACCATAAAATAGGAAACAACATTTGTACAAGATGTAGTCACATGTGGCTGTGAACGTGGGAGGTGGTAATTAATAGAGAGAGCCTAATCCATAGTTCAAAACAAAGCCCATAATAAGAGGAATATGAATAGTTTAGTTACTTAACAATGATACGATAAAAGTATACGCATAGTATTGGTCTATGAATGAATTCCAAAAGTTAACATTCATTATTCTTATCAGGATATAACAGACTTTATGATATGCAATATACTATCATAACACACAAGTTGAAAGGCAGTCCCAATTATCTTCATCTGATGATGTTCTGATTGTTATGTAACAGTACATAGGTCACGTAATGTTCAACATTTGTGAAATTTAAAATGGACGAAGTCCTTTAATTTCAGTACTGAATATCGATATCAAAAAAGAGTCCAAGTAAATGAGTTTTTGCTATATCTAAATCAATATTCTAAATTATAAACAAATTGTGTTTTATTTCTTCTATATTACAATATTAACTCTGGAGTCTATGACGAGAAGGATTCATTTATCGATCGGATCTAAAATATCTTATCATCATAGCAACAACTTATGATGCTTTGATATATATATATATAAAACACTTTTTTTTAATTTTCAGAACACAATCACCATGGCAGTAAGTTTATAATTCATAAGATTTGTAACCAAAGTAATGAAAAATAAGGGAAAATTATTCTTTTAATACAGTTGGTTTGACTCATAAAATGAAATATCAGTATGAGATTGTGGAGATGATGATGTTGTTTGATCGAGATCATAAATCGACTGATGTTAGACCACCATTGAAGCAATCGATGGTTCTTTCATTCTGTTGTTCTCCTATGTTGTTTTTGTTGTAAACCAGTAGTATCAGTAAAGTATTATGTAATAAATATCTTGATTATATGTTGTATCCAAATTAACTACAATTTATGAATGAACCAATCAGATTTAAGATATCAGATCTTGAACTTTGGCGCAAAATTCATTCATACATTTGACTAAATAGCATTTTGGCATCTTATCTGATGTCAGTTTGTGATAAAAACCGTAAATCTAATTCTTCATCTTAACCATTAACTGTAATTCATAATTTTAATTCCTCATACAGATTCATAACCTTCATTTCGTCATAGTTACTAGATGCACAATCTCAAGGTCACTTTAACGTCACTCAAAGGTTGTTCATAAATAGTAATTTCACCATTTTAACTGTTTTTTTCGTTACAATGTAGACCTCTTCAGTAAGTAACTTGTCAAGTTTATTTACTTACTCTCAAATCAATAACAGTTTATGTTGTCATACTTATCAATGAAAACCAGGAAGCGATGAACGGCTTTCTCGTCCTAGTATGGAAATTTTCAACAGTGAAACAGTTATCCACTTTAGACAATGGATGATCATTTGTGCAAGATCATAGATCAAATGAAGTTAGATATATTAACACCGCTAAATGCCAGCTCATTAGTCTACTGTTTAAGAGTTTGCGCACAATCCTGAAGGTCCTGAGTTTGAGTTCTACGTTTAGGGTCATGGATTTACACTACTGTGGTGTCCCATATTAGGACGAGACGACCATCCACTGATTCCAGTATTTCAGTGGTAGTCTAGCTTAGATCAACTCATGAATTCAATTGTTAAAATGACTACAATATCCACTAATCCTCAATCTGTATATAAGTTTCAGTAAATGAATCATACACATTTCTTTATCACATTTTGGCAAAAAAAGGACGAATGATTTCCCAACACATGAACTTGGTAACAAAACAGAATAATAAAGGTAATATGTTTGCCTTATTGATTCCTTATTCATTAGTAACTGGTTAAATCTTATATGGTGAGTTAAATAATCAAATAGTCAGATTCATTGTATTCAAATATGTATTATATTGTGGCATATGCTACTGACGTCCATAGATATAAGTAGTATGTATGATCAGTCAAAAGTGAAATACCTAGAGAAAAATGATTAAGCAGATCGAAGAAAACAGTATGAGAACAGAGAATGATTGGTGTGAAAATAAAGGAACAATGACGTGTGTGACGATGGATTAACGTTTTGCAAATAAAGAATTTACTGTATGGTCCTAAGATTTCACTAGACGGTTCTGTAATTTTGTATTCAAATACGTTCGATTGCCTCCACTTGAGTTCACGTTCACTACAATAGGGATTGTGTTGGTACATACGGAACATTACTATGTACAGCATGATACTGTTTTTCATAATATTCATTTACTGTTTCATTTCTTTGTCCCGTCGACGGGATTACTTTCATGTTCAATGACGAATATAGAAATGTAGTGTTTGTTATGACTTTTGCCCATGTCAACATCTCTGATCAGAATATTGACTTGTAAGACATAGTTCTTGTATTAAACCGATGACACATCAAATATCACTATCAGCCTTACGTCAGCAGTGGAAGGTTACTGGTCCTTCTCGCCCAGCTCTGCCTATTGACTCCAGAAAGCAATCTCAGCTTCCACTGTATGAATCATATATTTCAGACATACTCAATTTATATACAAGCAGACCAGACCGCATCACACCAGTAGAGTTCAATCAGTGTCAGGTAATAGACAGTTATCTACAGATGAAGGCTTGAGCAAGATCACGGATCGATTGAATTCAAACATAAACGCCATTGGATGCTGGCTCAAAAGTCTAGATATTAAGCGTTTGCTTGCAAGATCGAAGGTCCTGAGTCCAAATCCTGCATCCTGGATCGTGTATGTGCACTTCTGGAAATTCCCATACTAAGATGAAAAGACCATCAAATGGTAAATTGTATAACTGTAGTCAATAGGTTAAATGGATGCTTAGGATATAAATTTTCACACAGAATTATTTGAAACAGTAATTCGCAATTCTATATTGACTAGATCTTGTGAAATGTCGATAAAATATCTAATTATATGCTAAACAAATTCATTGTTTCATAGCACCCTTTTCTCATTATGGTACGTTTTCATGTTGAAATGTGTTATGAATACTTCCCTTAAGCTATACTTACTCATTAGTTAATTTGATGAATTAATTGAAGCTAGACCACCAGAGAAAACCTGTGATCCCTGGACTATCGTTTCGTACTAGTGTGAGACTCCTCATCAGTGATTGACTTCACGAGGTACTTCCTGGAATTCTAGTGAAAAGCAGTGACCGGTGGAGTTCAACTGGGTCTGTTGCGAGACAGTGACTCACTAAAGACAATAGTGAATGGTGACTTGATTTCGTGGATTGGCTGAAGTTAGAAATTAACACCCTTAGATGCTCCCTCAGTGGTCTACAGGTTAAGCGTTCGCGCACGAGACAGATATGTCCTTCGGTTAAGTCCCACATGATAGATTGTGAGTTCGCACAGATGAGGAGTCCTATAACTGAACGAAACAGTCGTCCAGTGCTTACAGGTTTTCCATGGTGATATAGCTTCAATTAAATCATGAACTCAGCTATTAAATTATTATAATATTCACAAAATCCCTTTCTGAGTACGATTATTCATCATTAGCCTGTCCGTTACTTATATTACTTTCATATTCATTTTAGACTTCTTGACCAAGGAGAATTGAGTTCTTTATTTCTTTTTAACCGATTTTTAGGGAAACTATCAAAGGAATTTTATCATCATGGTGGTGATGTGTACAACTTCCATTATCATCAGTTATAACTATTTGATACTCTATCGCAATCATTCACTATTATTTTAATATATATTTGATGTAAATGATTCTATTTGTTCTGTTCTCCTTGTGAACATTCAATGACGTATTATTCAACTGAGTATAGGACTTGTAATTTGTGTTCATGTAACTGCTCATTGTTTTAGCGATAAGTCTTCTAACTGAATTGGTCCACCATTGTGCTTGGTACCTGTGTGGTTGCGCAACAGGATGGAGCTGTACTATTTAGATTGTAGCGTTAAAGCCTATACGGTGTCTGGTTCTCCTGCTAATCGTGGTTGAGCTGTACTGTTTGGGTTTTCACGTGAAAGTCCGGATGGTGTCCGGTTATTCTGAAAACCAATGTAAAACCATCCGGGCACACAAGGGTATATTATATAACTAACTTCGAACTGAATGCAAGATTCGGTTCCTAAGCTCTTCTAGTAACCTGACGGGCTAAATCTACACAGCGATTCGAACACGAGAGAAAAAGCGTGAAAAAACGCTTTACTCTAAAGGTTCGTTTAAATACAGAGAATCCAGGCTTTTGACAGCATTTTTAGATGGCCTTAGGTTTCCGGAACGCTTGTAGACATAATAGCATTATAGGTAACCATTGATTCAGAAACGTTACATGTGACTTTCCACTTTCTAGATGTTTTTGAAAAAACGTCTACGGAATGCTGGTTGGATAAGATGTTTCTCAGAGCTTTTCTATGGTTTATTTCGAGAGATTTTCTAGATCTCCCTAACATTTAGTTTTGTGAATCAAGTGTCTCTAAATCTCACTTTAATCAGATGGTTTGCTATTTGTTATTGGAATATAAATACCTCTAACCCTCGTACGGAATAAGCCATACACGAGAACGAATTTTGAATACATACATTTCCTATACTCATTGGTCTGGACAGACAATAGAAGAAACGAAGTGAAGGAAGCGAGACGAAATAAAGTGACTCTGGGCAGAGATAGATAGTAAGCCAACTCGACTTTAATCAAGGGTGAATGGATATTTATAGTCAGACAAAGATAAGCTACAGAGAGGTAATGAATTGAGCAATTCACGAATGCACATAAGATCTCATAAAAATCCGTCAGAGTATGATGGTGATTGGAGGTGGTAAACACGAAACTCTGAACCTGGGTTTTTCGCTATTCGACTATAAATCATAGACTTTTTTAAAAGTTCTCTAAGATAGTATCATAACAAGTCATGAATTGATAGTTATTCGGACATAGGATTGTGTTAGTTTGGAATCTGTGATTGTTTGAATGATAACAATAAACATTTTGTAGTATCTAAGGGATTGAAATTTATCAGGCTATAAACTAACACCGTTGAAGGTTATGTCATACTACCTGCTAACTAAGACATTGTTAACTAACCATTGGTCAATTGATTCAAAGCCAAAATTCGATTAAGTAGAACAGCCCAATAGTGTCATTCTTAAGTTGAGCTGTGAAAGAAACGTTTCTGCTAGCGAATGTTAGTCAAAGCTTTCGTTCTTTATGCATATACCATTTTGTGGAGCAAGGTACATAGGCAGTGGTCAACATTTACTTTCAAGTTGAATAAGATAACACAGTTTATTGTAGTTCCAAAAACGTAAAAGTAAAGCGGTTAGGAGTTCTATCCTTATATAGTTAATCAATTTTAATAATTTTACTGATCCACAGGTTGATTTGATAGGTGTTTACACAATTCATTCATCCATAAAATAAACGCTAAATTGTGTTTACTTAAGAAGCATCCCTATCTTAAACTATTATTATTATTATTATTAGTAGTAGTAAAGATGGGTTGTGGCTAGCAGTGGAATCGAGGATGCGCGTTTCGTCCAGTTTGGGACTATTCATCTAGATGTTCGTGCACCGTAGACTCGATGATCACTTTGGCACTCGAACACGCTTCAAACATAATCGCGTTATCTTCTCAACTATTGAGTTCTAATAACCACTTGCTTGTGCAACGGGGTGAAGTTTAAATCCATTTAATATTGTTTACTAGAATCTTTCCATTGATATGTTGGGAGACTGCCAATGATCCGTCTTTTGTTGGCAATCGAATGTATTTGAATACGAAATTACAGAATATATTGGTAAAATCTGAGAACTATTCAGTAAATACTTCATTTGCACAATGTCAATCGTTCCCACGCCAATCAATCTCTTTTCTTGTTCTCTTTTCTTCGATCTTCCTAAATTTCTACTGCCAGACATTTCACTTCCAATTGATGATACATACTACTTATATCTGTCGACATCAGTAGCACACGTCAGACTACAATCAAGTTTGTTTATGGTTAATTTTGGTTATGAATTTTATTATTGTATTTAACAGTCAATATTATTCGGACATTAACAATTTGTCTATTTCTTTGTATTATTATGATCACCAACGATGTCTGTACTAGCGCGCATGCTTGGTCATATGTAACCGTCTACACACATACCCATCACTCCATCATAAATGTTAGTCGCTTAAATATCGCTCGATAAATTATTCACTTTCCCATATATATGTGCATGAATCTTACTAATTGCGTTGTATTGCTCCGCTTCGCCTCGATTCGATTTGACTGTGAATTCGCTCCAGTATACGCTTACAAGTTTCGTCATGCGTATTAGCCTATCTGCTCAAATTCGCTTCTAACTTTGTTATCTGCGCTACTCAATAATAACATGTAGTCGGAGTTTCGTTCTGCGTTCTAAATTTATACACCGTTTGGATTTATTTAATAGCGGTTATCAGGTGGGATTGATAATTGTAACGTCAGAAATGATCTCAGAGTCAAGCCACTACATGGGCTCATTGTGCAATGAACGAGAAGACAGAGCGACACAACCGAATCACTTATTAAAATCTGAGAAGCGTACAGTAAATATTTCTTTGGCAAAATGTTAATCTATCGTCTTAAACTTTAATGTTCCTTCATTTTCACAGCAGTCATTCTCTGTTCTCGTTCTATTTTCTACGATCTTTTTAACCTTCCACCACCAGGCATTTCATTTTCGATTAATGACACCTGCTACTTATATCTATCGATATCAGCAGCACACATCACAATTGTTCTAACATTAAATTTTATGGGTAAACAATCTTAATTATTCGGACACTTCAGTTAATATCTTATTCCTTTTGTTTTAACTTTCTTCCTACTTTTACGTTGTAGAGAGAAAACCAATAATGTGTAATTTGCATTTAATACGTTGCATTAAAGTGTTTTGCGAAATTATTATATGTATTTCTTTTGTATTTGTCTTACTCACATACTAAATGAACGTGTTTGACTTTTCGTTCGAGTTCTGGGGTGAACGGCTGACGAGTCCCGGAATAGGACGATTCAAATGCCAGCTACCATCCATCTCTGCTTACAATTGTTTGATTTCGATCAGTTGAAGGGAGCATAACTGGGAAATTTTTCATAAGTGGTCACAACAATGCTTACAAAAGAGGGGAATCTGTTTTTGAACTCGGTGTCACATATTTATTATCATACATGTAGTGCATACTACTTATATCGACAGATAATACCTATCAGAAGTGGAATGCATTTCAAAAGAAGATTGAGAGGATTAAACTGAAGAAAACAGAAAGCATAACTGAAAAAAGAAGAAGAGAATTGAAGGAATCATGAAGGATGTAAAAGATAATTGATGGAATATATGAAAGGCAATTATTTAATGTCTAATTTTTCATATGTTATGAAAGAACTCTGTAATTAAGCTCTAAATAATAATATGGTCTGTGCTACTTATACTGACATAAGTAGCATATAACGCTTGTAGGAATGGAATATCGGACAGCAGAAGATTGAGTAGTTCGAGAAGAAAAGAACAGAAACACAAAGCGATTGGTATGAAAACGAAGGAACAATTAAGTCTGAAACAATTAATTGACACTTTGCAAATGCAGTTTATACTGTATAATTCTCAGGTTTTAGTAAAATGTTCTGTAATGTTGTGCTAAAATACATTCGATTGTCGCCGTTTGTATTCTTGTTCACCACTAAATGTCGCTAATTCCCACTTGAGGTCTCGTTCACTTCATAAATCTCACATATTTTTTTAGATTCACTATTTAGTTTTGTTATTGATTGAGATCTTGAACCGATTGATGTTAAATCCCTATGGAAAACCTGAAAATGCTGAACGACTGTTTCGTCCCATTATGAGACTACTCAGCAGTGTCCATCCACGAGCTTGCTGTTGGGATTCGCACGCAGGGCCTTCAGTCTCACGAGTGAACACCTAACCTATGGACCATTGAACCGGCATCCAACGTCTAACCTCAACCAATTCACAAAATTGGGCGACCATCTTCCATTGTAATGAGGTAGATACCTGTCTCTATCTGACACGGAATAATTCCACTGGCCACGGCTTCTCATTAGAACTCGGACAATTCCCTGACAAAGCTAGGCACTAGTGAGTAGCTGATACTTATCAGTATAGTTTTGTAAAACAAAATAAGCCAACTTAAAGAAAGAAACGTGCTATTACGAAATATAGTCATCTTGTATATGTGCACAAATGTAATGAACCATAATGTAGTTAAGTGAAGAATAGACAATAAAGCTTTAACATTTCATTGATTAGTTTCATAATTTTGTCCGAATGTTGAAGTCTCACTTCTAACGTTGTAGCATATTGGTAGTATTATTAAAAAAGGTATACCAATCATTTATTGTGTTCCTAAAAAGCAGAAATTATCGATTTAGAACAGAACAAAATCAAATGATTATGGTAATATATGTTCAAATCAATACTCAAACTTTATTGATTGATTTGATTGGGAAAAAATATGTATGAAATGATTGATTTAGGTGCTATGCTTTAAAGTACCATTGTCATTGATTGACACTCATTCGTATTGATATGAGAAGTGAATAGTAATATTCCACATGACTCCAAATTATCGGATGCATCCTTCTCATTGAAAACACCTTTAATATACATTTGAAATCTAATCAATCTATTGATGGTATGATAAAGTATTGGATGATTGAAGTATTAAAATGGCTTGACTTTCTGCGCATTTCTAATACCTTTTGTACATTTGACTATAGATGATTATGAAACGAGTTTCGATCGTAATGTAACTACTAGAGTTACTTACTTACTTATGCCTGTAACCCCTCGTAGAGGTGCATAAGCCACTCACCAGTAGTCTCCGTCCAACTCTGTCCTGAACAATCCTTTCATGCTACCATTAATCTCTTTCATATGTGCTTCTCATTCTCGGCGTAGTGTGTTCTTTGGCCTTCCTATTTTCGGTTTTTCTTTACGATTCCAAGTTATCACTTGATTCATGATGCAGTTTGTTGATTTCTGTCTATAGTTCTGCTAGAGTTACTGGTGGTCCCAAGACCAGGTAAAGGAGAAGGGTTGGGCATAGGATCGACAACCCCACATTGTAGAAAGCAATCTTACTAGAAAAACGTCAACTACATTAAACAAATTAACTTCTAGAGTGGTTGGAATGTTAGAATTTGCTTACCAGATTCCATTCAAAAAGCTTCAAGATATAAATCGTTTAAAACAATAGACGATTGAATTCCACATAGATACAAATTATCTTAAACCTTTCAGATTGGTTTATATATGCAAATATAACCGTGAAATTTTGTTTGGCATATTAAATAAACCATGTTTACTTAGTACTGTGGTGTATGCCACTGATATCAACAGATGTAAGTAGTATGTATCATCAATCGTAAGTGAAATGCCTGGTTGCTAATGGTTAAGAATATCGAAGAAAATAGAACGAGAACAGAGAATGGTTGCGAATGGAAACGGAAGAACAATGAATTCTGAAATAATTGATTAACATTTTGCAATTGAAGTATTTACTGTATATTTTTGTAAGCAAAAGATGGATAGTGGCTAGCAGTGAAATCCAGTAGGCGGGTTTCGTCCTATTTGGGACTCGTCAGCTGGATGTATCTGCATCTCGGAGTTGATGTTCACTCTAGGAATTGAACCCAGTACCATTCGCTTCAAACGCCATCACGTTATCCACTAAGCTACTGAGTTCTGATATCCACTTGCTTGTGCAATGGGATGAATTTAAATTCACTTGGTATTGTTTGGCTTGTATCTTCCCATGACAGACTGATCAATTGCAGTCTTAAACTTCAATTGGAAGATACAAGCCAAGCAATACCAAGTGCAATTACTGTATAATTCTCAGGTTTGACTAATATGTTCTGTCATTTTGTGACATGCATACACTGGAAATGTTCAGCATAACAGTGAGTAGTAATTAAAGAATTGGCTGTTTGGTAAATGTCTTTATTTTGTGTTATAAAACACATGAATAAATTGTATTTCGCTTATATAAACGACCAAGTGACTTAAAGCAATATCGAAGCAGTGTGCACAGGATGTACATAAGTCAAAAATAGATTGATCAATTGCGGACCTCAACAACAATGAGGAGATACTAGCAAATAATGCCAAGTAAATCTAAAATTCATCTCATTGTATAAGCAGGTGGCTATCAGGACTCAGTAGCTAGATGGATAACGTGATGGTGTTTGAAGCGAACGGTACTGGGTTGGAGTTCCAGAGTGAATTTCAACTCTGGAATGCAGACACATCCAAATAACGAGTCTCATTTAGGACGAAACGTGCATTGTGGATTCCACTGTTAGCCGCTATCCATCATTGCTAACCAAATGAACTATATTTTAAGTTTTTTAACATTCGAAAGAGAATGCTGGTGGGCAGTCTATGCTGCTCCATGAGGGGTAACAGGCGTAAATAAGTAAACTACTCTTTACTAAAGTATTCATTGAACTAATAGATTACATCAAAAAGCATTGACATTGTAAATTCAACTTACCAAATGAAGCTAAGAAGGGATCTAGTTTGAATAAATCAATAGAATGATAGTTGATTTTAACACGGAAAAATGTTGATTTAGAAGTATACTGACTGTCATGTTGCACAAACGTATGAATGTTTGCCCACAATGAACAATTTAATCTAGACATCTATTCATTCTAACAAAATTACTTGGTTATTCATAAGATTACTTAAAATGAGTATGGAAAGTTATTTACTTAGTTAAAATTTACTAAACCATATAGAATGACAAAATAAAATTTCTTATCTTAGGTGGACATGAACAAATAATTCTAATATTTTCATAGTTGAAAGCACAAGTCGATCTAAACAGTGTGTATCCACGATCCCGCACTTGGGACTCAACGCAAGGATCTTTGGTTTCGGGCGCGAGCGCTTAACCAACAGATCACTGAGTCACGTGCGAGGTCGTGCATATGCATTGCTGAGGGGTCCCATACTAGGACGAAATGGTCATTCAATGCTTCTAGCTTTACACTTGTGGTCTAGCTGAAATCGACTAGTGATTTTAACTGTCATTATACTTCAATCTTCTTAAATCCTCATACGGATAATTCTAATATTCAGAAATGTCAAATATAGTTTTCTTAATATAGTATTCTTACTACTAAACATATATTCATCTACACACTGTAAGTTATCCATTAGGCTTAATATTTAATGAGTTCGATAGAACGGTTTGATGAAATATAGACGATTGATTTCATGTTTTGTCTGTTGATATCGTCCTGAAGGAAACATATCATCGAAGTGTATGAAACGTAATTTATAATAAAATCTTAACAGAATTACAATTCATCATCAACGTTCTGACTAAACTCAGAGAATTTTGAATTCACTTGATATTGTTTCTTGTTGTATCTTCCCATTGATGTTTAGGACTATATATGTGCATCCTGTGAGAATTGCCCCGATATTACTTTAAGTCATAAGCTTTTAAAGCAGAGATGGATAGTGGCTAGCAGTGGAATCCAGGAGTCATCAGCTAGACGTACCTAATTTCCAGAGTTGATATTCATTCCGGAACTCGAACCCAGTATCATTTGCTTCAAACGATACCGCGTTATCCATATAGCTACGGAGTTTTTATTGATGTCAAAAATTGAAAACTATTGATTTCAACAGTTATATAAATAATAAACGTAAATAACAATATCACTTTCTAACGGTCACTTACTCAAATATTGACCAAAGTTTCCTTGAATATAATGAATTCAGAAGTAAATAGAGATATTGATGATTGGTTCAAATGAACGCAAAAAGACCTAAAAGGCATACACTATGAACTCTATAAGACAGCATGTTAAACTGAAGAATAAACTCATTTGAAAATGATAAAGTCGACAATGAATTCATTAAAGTGAATATTCCAAATCATGTGATCAACAGTTTGTTATCTACATTTTCTCAAATTATATTTTGTGGTGTGTACTACTGATAGCGACCGATATAAGTAGTATGTATCATCAATTGAAATTGAAATGCATGGCGACAGAAGATTAAGAAGATCGATGAGGCGAGAACGTGAACTGAGAGTAATTGATGGGGAAATGAAGGAACAGTCAAGTTTTCGACGATTGACTGACGTTTTACTGTTTAGTTCTGAGGTTTTAGTATGAGATTCTGTAATTGTGTATTCATATGCATTCGATTATCTCCACTTGTGTTCTCGTTCACTACGTTCATTACATTAAAACATAAATATTCACTTACCCAATGAAAGTCCTTTTGAAATGTAGAATAATAGTCAATTTCAAGAGAATGTTCCTCTACTATGAAATTGATGTGTTCATATCATCTAATGACAAGGTCAAATACAGAATATAATGGTTAATTGTATATGCATACAGTTTGCGTTCGTCCTAGACTCGAATACTACATTCAAGAGGCTATCCCCAGCTAAATCACAATCAGTGATCGGTTAAGAAAAGCGTAGACAATCACAATTAAGTGTAATCCGGAATAGCCAACCTCTTATATGACGCTCGACTGCCTTAATTAGAACCCATCTGCATTGTCATACAGAGGAACCAGGGGGAAATTGATCTTTTTCAGTTACTTAATGATAAATTTGCATGTGATATGCCCTCATTTTTCTTGTCTCCCAAGACAGTGAATTAACGAGGACACTTTAAAAGAATTTACAAACCCAAGACAAATTACTTGTCAGCTGATTATCGATTTTCCCATTGAATCATCAACTTGTGGAATTCATTACCTCAACACATGATTAGAGCTCCATTTATCGACTCTTTCAAAAGAAACTTGGATCACCTAAGAGGCCACCATTGGCAGGACTAAAATAGACCATCTAGCTTCCTATCCTTTCCAAACTGAAGCTGTAACTGAATACAATTACTCAGTAAATGTATACTAGCTTTTGCATATACTTCAGTTTACATGAATTTTTTCAATAAATATCAAATGTCAATTCAAGTAGATAGTAACTCATTGAAAACAATATTGGACGATGACACAATTTCGTAAATTGGTTACATTTAGACATTAACACCATTGGATGCCGGCCAACTCAATGGTCTAGAGGTCCTGGGTTCGAACCTCACGGGATGGGATCTTGGATGCACATCGCTGAGGAGTTCCATACTAGGACAAAACTTCTGTCCAGTACTTCCAGGTTTTCCATGGTGATCTAGCTTCAAATGACTCATGAATTCAACTAGTGAATTGATAATTATCCACAACCTCTGAATGAAGATTAATATTATAATATTTGATAAAAAGGAAAACAGAATGTTAAATGTTCAGCTTACTTTTCCTCTGTGACCAGTGATGTAGTTGGTTTTGTATATCAACCAAACGATAATAAATTAATATCAGAGAAAGCTTTTTGTGGATATTATAGTGATTTAATTGCTGGATTTATGAGTTAATTAAATCTAGACTACCATAGAAAACCTGGGAACACAGGACAACCGTTTCGTTCCTCTATGATACTCCTCAGCAGTCGTCATGTTGGACCGTGGATACGTGATAATGAGGAGTCTCACAGTAGAACGAAACGGTCTTCCTGTGCTTGCAGGTTTTCCATGGTGATCCAGCTTCAATTAACTCACGATCTCAACCGTTAAAATAACAAAATAGTCAAATAATTCAAATGTAACTGACAATACTTATACATTCATTAGAATATAGAAATTATATTCGATTACTTTAAATAACATACATACTTTTACATTCTGTTTGTGAGGACCTAGATGAACCACAATAACATGACTGTATTAGAAATATTGAAATGATGGCAAATTGAATCATTAAATAACTACTGATGATAGATGAAGTGAATTAAGTAGTAAACTTTGATATTTATGTTTCTAAGAACTTCATCAATGGAAATGATGGTTCTTTTATGTCTATAAGTGTTTCGATCAATCAATACTGTTATTTAATTGGTTTAATCAGTAGAGTAAACAATCTATATTATAGGCGTCAAAACCAAGTACGCCTTTTATAACCCTAAAGTAATGATTATTATCTATTGACTTAATAGTTCTTCCCCTTCATAGATATACATTTCAATGCAGACGATTGTTTTCAGTAGGTTATCAGAGGTTTAGAGTTTGAAAAGATAAGGGATTAACAAAAATTTTATTGTTTTATTATCAATGTATGTCACACCCTGATAAACAGACTATTATAAACATTGGTAGATATTTTAAATGATTGACTTACTTACTTACTTACTTACTTACTTACTTACTTACTTACTTACTTACTTACTTACTTACTTACTTACTTACTTACTTACTTACTTACTTACTTACTTACTTACTTACTTACTTACTTACTTACTTACTTACTTACTTACTTACTTACTTACTTACTTACTTACTTACTTACTTACTTACTTACTTACTTACTTACTTACTTACTTACTTACTTACTTACTTACTTACTTACTTACTTACTTACTTACTTACTTACTTACTTACTTACTTACTTACTTACTTACTTACTTACTTACTTACTTACTTACTTACTTACTTACTTACTTACTTACTTACTTACTTACTTACTTACTTACTTACTTACTTACTTACTTACTTACTTACTTACTTACTTACTTACTTACTTACTTACTTACTTACTTACTTACTTACTTACTTACTTACTTACTTACTTACTTACTTACTTACTTACTTACTTACTTACTTACTTACTTACTTACTTACTTACTTACTTACTTACTTACTTACTTACTTACTTACTTACTTACTTACTTACTTACTTACTTACTTACTTACTTACTTACTTACTTACTTACTTACTTACTTACTTACTTACTTACTTACTTACTTACTTACTTACTTACTTACTTACTTACTTACTTACTTACTTACTTACTTACTTACGCCTGTTACTCCCAATGAAGCATAGGCCGCCGACCAGCATTCTACAACCCATTTCAATCCATTCCTTACAAAAATTTAAATGAAGCAATATTCATTTCAATAGTTGAGATTATGAGTTATTTGAAGCTAAATCACTATGGAAAACCTGGAAGCACTGGATGACCGTTTTGTCCTATTATAGGACTCCTTAGAAACGCGCATCCAAGATACCGACTAGCGGGATTCGAACTCAAGGCTTTCAAACTCACGCGCGAACGTTTAACCTACTTGACCGCTTAACCAGCATCCAACAGTGTTCATGTCTAACATCGACCAATCCACGAAATTGTGCGACCATCTTCCATTGTAATGAGGTAGATACCTGTTTCTACCCGACATGGATTAGCTTCACTGGTCACGGCTTCTCATTAGAACTCTGAGAATTCCCTGACGAAGCTAGTCACTAGTGAGCACATGGTAATTATCAGTATACGGTTGTGGAGATTATTTCAAGTTTTCAATGGTGATCCAACACCAATTGGTTCATGATCTCAATCAAAAACTTAATATTCTCCACAACCCTATACTGACATTCCATTGAATAACCATCGTTTTTCCATAACTTTCTATGTTTACATAAATTGAAACAAAAATGAGATATTAAGTCAGCTACTGTTGTTGGGGGCAAGGTGGAACCACAATTTGAGCTTAACAAGTAAAATGATTATTCATTTAATTTGTCTTTATTCATAGTTGAATAAGAAAGATTTGAGTTTCTTGGATAATCCTGGAACGTTTCAACGTTTCAACAATTTCAGATTTGATCTTCAAAAGTCAAGTTCCAAAAAAAGTTGTTTTGATTATTTAACAGGATTCTATTTTTATTGTTATGATTTTTTTTGTCATAAATTCATTGAATATTCAATATGAGATACTGTAAGACGAATTGAAACTATCTTGTTACTTAAGAACATCTCTAGTGATGCCTGAAATAAGCCTAGCATCCTAATGTCAACATATTTTATTTGATAGGGATTTTTATGGATATTGTAGGTAATTCCTGGAGTTCCAATGAGAAGTTGTGACGAATGTGGTTCAACGGGGTCAGTAACTTACTGAAGACAATGGTGGACGGTGTCACTATTTTTTGGATTAGTTGAAGTTAGACATTAACAATGTTGGATGACGTCCTAATGATCTGAAGAGTAAGCGCTCACGCGCGAAACCGAAAGCATTTGGTTCGAATCTTGCTATGGGAGGGATCGTTTAAGTGTACCATACTTGGACGAAACGGCTGTCCGATGGTCACAGGTTTTCTATGGTAGTCTAGATACAACTGACTCATGAATTTAAATATTTTATTCGCTTCTAATTTGTATTTTAAGAAAAGTGTTTCTGTTGCTAAGCCTTCTGAATATCATTCTTTTTAATTTTATCGTTCAAGTCATTCATCTTCATAGGTATGTTTTAGAAATGAATATGAAACCGCTATCTCTTCAATTGAGGAAACGCGCGTGCTGGATTACACTGCTAGCCAATATCCATCATTGCTTATAAAGCTTGTGACTTAAGACAATATCGAGACAACCCGAACAGGATGTACATATGCCAAAAAAAGACTGATCAATTGCAGTCCTAAACATCAATCGGAAGATACAAGTAAAACAAAATCAAGTGAATTTAAACTTTACCTCGTTGCACAAGCAAGTGACTATCAGGACTTAATAGCTAAGTCGATAACTCGATGGCGCTTGAAGCAAACGGCACTGAGTTGGAGTCTCAACGTGAACATCAACCGTGATGCAGATACATCCAGCTGATGAGTCCCAAATAGGACAAAACTCAAGTTCTGGATTCTACTGCTAACCACTATATATCTTTGTTTATAAAAGTAGTATTGAATAAGATTTTTTTAAAATGTTTAAATCATTTACTCCACCCATTATCAGATTGAAACGTACAATACAACATAGTTACATAAACAAATAAACAAATCAATCAGATATATTGTCATACGTCTTGACAACAAGCCTGTTGACTAAAATGACTATTTTCAGTATTATTAGGATGCTAGCATGCTAACATTTATAATCTAAATCATTTTAAGTCGATTGAATAAATAATCATTGTTTTATAATAGAATACATCATCTAATAGTACTTTGTACAAAGGGGATCAGTGCATTGTTGGTTATCTTACTTTAGCCTTCCAAACATTACTTACTTATTTACGCCTGTTACTCCCTGTGAAACATAGGCCGCCGATCAACATTCTCCAACCCACTCTGTCCTGAGTCTTCTTTTCCAGTTCTATCCAAATAATATTCATTCTTCTCATGTCCGTCTCCATTTCTCGGCGTAATGTATTCCTTGGTCTTCCTCTTCTTCTTTGGCCTTAAGTATTCCAAGTGAGGGTTTGCCTTGTGATGCAGTTGGGTGTGTTACTCGATGTATGTCCTATACAATTCTAGCTCTACTTCCTGATTTCTTGCTCCGCTGGAATTTTGTTCGTTCTCTCCCACAGTAGGTCGCTTTCAAACATTACACATTACGATATCTGAAGTTAAGAGTAACGTTTGATGTTGTAAAAGAAAATATGTTTTTGATACCATTTCATTTCATTTTAACACATGAATTGCGATCATGAACCGATTAATGGTAGACCACCATTAAAAACCTAGAACCATAGTCTCAGTTAAAACTCAACAATATCCACAGCCTTATAGTGATAATTATCATGTGTTCACTAGTAGTCCTCATATTTCTAGTGAGAAGCCGTGACCAGTTGAATCCGACCGTGTCTTATGTGAGGCAGTTATTCACGAAGATAATAGAGGTTGGTCAAGCAATTGGTTAATGTGAAACATTACCAGCTTTGGATGTCAGCTCAGTGGTATAGAGGTTAAGCATTCGCGCGCGAGACCGAAAGCTGTTGGTTCGAACCCCTTTGGTATGGGATCGTGGGTGTGCACTGCTCAGGAGTCCCATATTAGTACGTAAAGGTGGTCGAATGCTTCCAGGATTTCTGTCATGGTCTAACATTGATCTGTTCATGATCTCAATCAAAACCCAACGATCTCCACAACCCCGCATTCATAACAATCTAAATAATGTTCATATATTAAGTAAGTTCATTCTTACTTTCCTAATTATCAACACTAAAAGTAGCAAACAATATCGAGTCTGTTAAATTTATGATATTCCGAATATCGGTGAGACTATAATTTATGGATGAGCCATTCAAAAGCGTTTTTGAGGAATTTCAAGTTCACGGCATCAATTTCAGTACCTGTTACTCATGTACGATCGGTTCACAGTGGTATTAACGAAAACGTTATATTTGAGCGAATACAACAAATGTAACTATCAAAAAGCTCCTTTATTTGTGATGGTTGTAATTAAATGACTTATGAAACTTGTGCTGACTACTATGATAATGTTGTCTATCAATGTAATATATGTTGGAGGAAGAAGTCTGCTAGAATAGAAATTCTTTCCTCGATCAAGATTGGAACAACAGATTTAGTGGTTGAATTCATGATTCAATTAAAGCCAAATCACCATGGAAAACCTGTAAACACTGGATAGCTGTTTCGTCCTAGTATAGGACTCCTCAGAAGTGCGCATTCATGATCCCCCACCGCACGATTTGAACCTAGAACCTATCGATCTCACGCGCGAACACTTAACCTTTAAACCATTGAGCCGGCCGTTGTCGAACTATGTCTAACTTCAACCAATTCATGACAAATTGTTTATGTAAGTGATGTCCGTATAAAATCTCCATGTTCTATGGTAATAAATAATTGTGTCAAATGCTATTTTTAGTTGATCAGTCAATTACACTACTTAATTTATGAGTAATCAGTCATGTTTTTATTTATGAAGACATTTAGAATAAGTACGCATGGCTTCTTTTATCATCGGAACCATTACATATGGGTATATATGGGTATTCTGTGCAGATTGACTCGATATTGCTTTACATCTTATGCGTTATAGGTAGAGATAGATGGTGCCTATCAGTGGAATCTAGGATATATGTTTCATCCTATTTTAGGTCTAGTCAGCTTGATGCACCTGCATATTAGAGTTGATGTTCACATCGAGACTCGAACGCAGTACCATCCGCTTTAAACGTCATCACGTTACTCACTTAGTTACTAAGTCCTGATAGCTGCTTGCTTGTGCAATGGGATGAAGTTTTAATTCATTTTTGTATTGGTGGTTTGAATTTTCCCATTAATGTTTAGGACTGCAATTGATCAATCTCTTATTCGCATATGTGCATCCTGTGCGTATTACCTTAATTCACAAGCACTATAAGCAAAGAGTGAACATCAACTCTGAGATGCAGGTACATCCATCTGATGAGTTCCAAATAGGATGAAACGCGTAACAAACTGGATTCCATTGCTAATCACTATCCATCTTTACTTATAAAGCGTGTGACTTAAGGTAATATCGTCACAATTCGCTTAGGATGCACATTTGCCAATAAGAGACTGATCAATCGTAGTCTTAAGCATTAACGAAAAGTTTAAAGTAATCAACACAACGAGAATGATTGCTGTGGAAGCGAAGAAACAATGAAGTCTGAGATGATTGACGGATACTTTGCAAATGAAATATTTAATGTATGCTTCTCAGATTTGACTACGAGTTCGAATATATCTGATTATCTCCACTTGAGTTCTCGTTTACTACAATATGGTTTCCGGTACACTTTCATTTTAACTTCTGATTAAGTACTAACTCAATGCTCATCTTCATGTTAGTACTTGTTTGACGTGTATAATCAATGAATTAAATGGGTAAACTCTGATCGAGTAGTTAAAGCCTATGAGAACACTTCAAATTAGATCATTCCCAAAAGGAAGCTGAACCACATTTCATATAACGGAATATTATAGCAAAGCATATGTTAGCCTGTCCTAATCTCAGTATTCTTTCCCATTTACTCATATGCTTTCTGCTAAACTTTTATTATTGTATAACAAAATGAACAATAATACATCACTAGAGAAATGGATTTGAATAATAAAGAAATCGGTACAGAATTTCATAGTTCATCTTGAATCCTTATCCGGTCATTTGTGTCGCCTGCTGAAGGAACCCAGCTATAGTGTTCCTAGAAACGTATAAATGAATAAAGATCATTATTATTCAAGGAAAAAACCTTTAAGATCACTTCGTAATACATTATGAACAGTTAACTGATTATTATTATTATATATATATGACAAATACAGATTAGAAGGTTTTTTTGGTGGTGTTTTGTTCTCTGAGCTGGATGGTTTGGTCGTGGAGCTTTCATCGATGAAAGCTCCACGACCAAACCATCCAGCTCAGAGAACAAAACACTACCAAAATCATCCACCTGAGCTACAAATCTTCTGCACCATCTCAGATTAGAAGGTTGATTGTAAATGACATAATGCATATATGTAAGCTGTATATTTATTTAACATAAATCTCTAATTGATGTTCATAATTGACGAATACATATATAAAGCTTAATTACCTTGTTTACCGTTCCAACTGTGATGTGTACTACTTATATCGACATAAGTAGTATATAACACTAATCAGGTATAGAATGTTTGGCAGAAGATCGAGAAGGCAAGAACGGAAACGAAAAGTAATTGGCATGGAAACGCAGAGACAATGAAGTCTGAGACAATTCATAAACATTTTTTCAAATGAAGTATGGTATTCCTATTTTATCAAGTAACTGTAATTTTGTACTGAATATCATCAAATGTCCTCACCTATGTTCTCCTTCATAACACTATGATGCTAACTCATAACTCCGATGTTCGGAGACATGGTAGATAATTGAAAATCTCGTTCAGAAAATTGAAATATTACAAAATAGTATATATATATATAGATGTATAGATGTATACAGTGTAACTAGACTCCTAAATATGTAAGTGGTCTTTTTGTGATGAATACTACTTTTATCGACAAACATGAGTAGTATAAACACAAACCGAATGTGGGATGCACGGCAACAGAAGGTCAAGAAGATCGACTCAAAGGAAGCAGAAACGGAATCCGAAATAAACCGTGAATTGAAAGAATCATACAGAATATGAAGGACAGTTGATGGAACATTTGCAAATGAAGTATTTAATGTATCATTCTCATAAATTTCAATAGTTGAGATCATGAGTCCATTAATGCTAGACCACAATGGAAAACCTGGAAGTTAAGCGTTCACGCGGGAGACTGATAAATCCTGCATTCGAATCCCGCAAGGCTGGGTCATGGATGCGCGCTGCTGAGGAGTTCTACAATACGACAAAACGGCCTTCCAATGAATCTATTGATTGATGATCTCAACTATTAAAATTACTATACTATCCACAAAATCGCCTCCTGATATTCTCATATATGATGACGATATTCTGTAACGTAGACAGACAAACGCATCTTACCATATTCCATCTAGAAAACTGTGATTGACGTTTATAAAAATAAACAAAAACAGCGAATATTGTTTGAAGTGTAACAAGCATAAATGAATCAGTTATACATTAGTGGTGATTATCCAAGATTAATGAAATATATTGAACATTCAAGTTGATATTATTATTTAACAGATAACGAACTGATTACAAAATCCACCGCGCAATTACTTCTGGATTGAAAAACGACAAAAAATTCACAAAAGTAATGTATGGGATGTACGGGGTCGCTCTCTACGGGGAAAACTCCAACCGATTGCAAGAACAGCTATTCTAGCTTGGGTAGTTGCGCCGTGCTTCTATGTGACCTGCTTCTATCCAGAAAAGCCTACTAGGCTTCGTCAACTTGTTTGGCTGAAAGGTACGGTGATTATCCAAGATTACTAAAAGATATTAAACATTCAATTTAACAACTAACAATCAAGATGTATGTTGCAGGAATTTGCTAAGTTAATCTCAATTACTATAAAATCATACTGTTAAAATGGTTCCACTTGGAACATATGACATTTATCTGGTGCTCTATTTGTAATTGTATGGCGGATAGAGTATATCTACTGTAAATTATGCCATTTTAAGCTTAAAGTAAAATATTAATGACTACCTACCATATTAAGCTAATAAGTGTTCTGTAATGATTCAACCAATAGAAATAAAGGAAAATAAGTTTCAGTAATGTTACATTGATTGATGTTACAGTTTACATGAGGATGTGTACTAATTATCATAATGAACCAGTATACACCGGTTCCATCCAGCTTTCCTTCGTACTATGGTACCGTATCATAAATTGTCCTGGTGTCAGCAACTCAACAACTCAGTTCCCCGAGTTTTCGCATTCAAATTTCAGGTTAGTACTTTAGTATCTTTTAAACGCACTTTTTTGGGATCATTTGATTGACGGCAGAACTCACATTTGATTAAGTCTGAGACGCAATCGATTTGAGTGTGGATTATCGAGAAACAGCGGTTTTTAAAAACCTCTTCTCACCTGTATCTAGCTTTCTAATATAACAGCACATAAATGACTGTTAATAGGAATCATATCAACAAATACGGCTCCTGATCCAGGGCTTCGTACTACTTTATTTATTTAAACACATAAACATTGATACAAGGAGGCACCAAATAAGTATGCACCACACTTTGTCATTAGATCTGTGTGAAGGCCATGATACTGTTCAAGTGCCCAAACCGGAGCAGGTGGTTTCCTTAGAGGGGCACACCCAGAGCCTTTGACCTAGGGGTCTAATCCACAAGGCAGTGAGGCAACGTTAAAAGATGCAGTCCCATAGTGGCTGGTGGTCAACAATAGCTTCATACACCATTTGTTTGCTTGAGATCCTGGAACTTTGAACTTAACTTTACTTATGCCTGTTACCCTCATGGAGGAGCATCCGCCGACCAGTAGCATTCTCCATCCGACTCTATCTTGAGCCATCCTTTCCAGTTGCTATCTGTGCTTTTCATATTTGCTTCTGATTCTCGACGGAGTGTTCTTTGGCCTCCCTCTTTACTGTTTTCTTTCAAGATTCCAAGTTAGTACTGGACTCATGATGCAGTTTGATGATTTCCTCAATATGTATCTTAACCACTTACAACTCCGAGCCCGGGAAAAGAAGGAGGGTTGGGAATAAGATCGGCAATCACATCCCGTAGAATACAACCTTGTTACAAATAGACACTAACCAAATGAAACAAATTCGAACTTAGTACTGTTGGGGACCATAGATCCCCAAAACTCAAATTTTGTAATTTACTTATCGATTAAATATGCAGATAGGTCAATTGATGAACTATCGATTAAATGTACAAATAGGTCAATTGATGAACTATCGATTAAAGGTTCAAATAGCAGTCAATTGTTGATTAATGTTCAAAAATCTTCCATGACAATATCGATTGTAAATATTTGTATAAATACGCTTGACTTGTGTGCTTGACTTGTTATCTGCTGTTGCTTGTAGAATTCACTTTCTACGCCCTACCAAGACTTCTTGATCGAGTTAGCAGAGTTGGGGACAACGGGCCAGAATAGACTATCGAAATTCTGAATCCTTGATCCGATCGATAAGCCACTGTCATATAATCGGCTGTCTCTTTGAGACATAACAAGTACCTACTGAGTTATATAGAATGAGAAAAACTGTATTTACTCGATTAATAAATAACAACTTAGTTCAATATTCTCATCATTATGGAGATTCTTAAGTTTTTCTTGATTGAGATCATAAATTCATCGATGTAAGACCATTATTGAAAACTTGGAAGGAATGGACGGCGGGGTCATGGGTGCGCACTGCTGAGGTGTCCCATAATGGGATGAAACGGCCGTCCAGTGCTCCCAGGTTTCCCATAGTGGTTTAGCTTCAGTTGACTCATGACTTAAATGTGACAACTATTGAAAGTCTAGATGAACTGATGACTGTTTTGTTCTAGTATGTGACTTATCAAACAGTACGGATTTATGACCACGGTTAACGAATACAACTGATGGATGCTATTCACTTACCCCACTGCAGCAACAAACCGTCTGAAATATATATATTGAAATTTACAATTCACAGATATCAATAAAAAAACACGGACGTTATCTGTTCCTTGTCGATGTGCTTGGAGCTCTTTGAAATATTTGCCTCAGTTCAATCATTTTAATAAGCATATTGAAATGTATGATCAATAGTACACTACACTTTAAATAGCGTCAGAAGTATTAAATAGTTATCAATATAGGGTTGTGGAGATTTTTAAGTTTTAATTGTGATCATGAAGCGATCAATGTTAGACTACCATTGAAAATCTAAAAGCGTTGGACGGTTGTTTCATCTTCATATGAGACTCCTCAGAAGTGAACATCGACTATCCATCATACGAGACTCGAACCTAAGACCTCCGGCTTCAGCGTGCAGATGCTTAACCTATAGATCACTGAGGTGGCCGATGTTAACTTCAATCTATACACCATAATATGTGATCATCTTACATTAAATAACTGAGATAATTTTTCCATAAAACATGAATTTGAAAAAAAATATTTACTCACGCAAAAGGTGATCGTCTAGTGTAATGATAAAACAATTGTGCCTATATATTAGCGAATGAAACTGTTAAGAATTAATGTCCATTAATCACTATCTTTGAATCTGAAATAATATATTAGTTGTAACACTTGGTTAGTTACTTACTTATTTACTTATGCCAGTTACCCCTCGTTAAGGGGTATAGGCTGCCTGCCAACATTCTCTATCCAATAATATCCTGAGCCGACCTTTTCAGTTCTTTCCATTCGCTATTCATCCTTTTCATAGTTAATTCCGATTTGAAACTCATTGTGTTCTTTAGCCCTCCACTTCTGTGTTTCCTTTCACGATTCCAAGTTAAGGCTTGCCTCCTGATGCAGTTTGATGATTTCCTCAATGTAAGTCTCATCCATTTCCATCGTCTTATCCTAATTTCCTCTTCAGTTGGAAGCTCGTTCATTCTATCCCACAGAAGGCTGTTGCTGATGGTAACTGGCCAATGGATGTTGAGTATCTTGCGTAGACAACTATTTATAAATACTTGTACCTCCTTGACGGTGGTTGTTGTATTTCTCCAAGTTTCAGCTCCGTACAGTAGGACTATCTCAACGTTCGTATTAAAGATTCTAAATTTGATATTGTTTGACAATTGTTTTGATTTCCATATGTTCTTCAATTGTAGGAATGATGTTCTTGCTTTGCCAGTCTTTGCTTTCACGTCTGCATCAGATTTGTCTTGCTCATCGATGATGCTTTTCAGGAAATACTTGATTAAGTAAGATCGATAGACCAAATTGGTAGGTTGTGAATTTAATTGCTACAAGTTAGGTAATATTAAGTTAGTTATTATTCTTAATTGATTGGTAAATAGAATATCAAGTGGTAGACTTACTGTTCCTCTGTCATTGATATAATAAGTGTAAACATCATCAGTATAGCCTTGTTACAGATTACAAAAATATATCTCTTATCATAATGAAATACTTAACTTCCAATTGTACTTGTATTCACTATATTCAGAAGAAAATCTTTATATCTTCAAACATACCAGTGCAGTTAGATTGTTGTGATGATGATGATGATCCTGACTGACATGAACGTATTAAAATCAGTGGAATTATAATGTAGATAATCAACATTTCACAACAATTCACAGTATCTGAGTCAGTAAATCCAATTGTTTTGCAAGTTTATATATCAAGTTACTTGAGCAAGATTGATCAGCATATTGTATCATTCAGATATATGTATTTATTGAATTTACGAATGATAATAAAGGCGTATTCAGGTAAGTATTATGTCATAACATACTACGCCCTGTCTAAACAACATTAATGGTTTCATGATGATGATAATGATGATGTTGATTAGTTTCTGATTTTGGCGAAGTTTCGCTCTCTGAACTGGATGGTTTTGTCGTAGATGATCATCAGCACAAATATCAGTGCTGATGATGTCATTCAGAAAACAATGAAAGCTCCACAAACAAACCATCTAGCTCTGAGAACAAAACTCCACCAAAATCATCCACTTGTGCTACAAATCTTCCCCGCCATCTCAGTTTGTTACCGAGAAATAGATTAAGAGTTATGGCTACAGATTTAATTCCATAAATACATTCAGTCAATGATCTATGCAACGTGCTTGTGTGGACTTACATTCTATTGACAATTTAACAATTCAGATAACTTTGTTTTCCTATATAAGTCATTAGATAACGTTCTCTTTTACATGCTCGATCTATATGACTTAATGTAATAACTGAAGACACTGTTTCTTATTTGTGTGGTATGTTCTACTGATATCGATAGATATAAGTAGTATGTATCAATAATCGATAGTGAAGTACCTTGCATTAGAAGGTTACAAAGACCGAGGAAAAGAGAGCGAGAACAGTAAATGATTGGTATGGAAACGAAAAAGAACAATGAAGTCTGAGACGATTAATTGACATTTTACAAATGAAGTATTTACTATATGGTTCCCAGATTTTACTAACATATTTTGTATTTCAGTATTTAAGTACATTTGATTGTCCCCAGTTCGATTCTCGTTCATGACAGTTATTTTGTGACTATTAACGTACATTTTTAACGACCTAAATACATTTGCTTACTCGCTATAGATGTGACTAGATATGATAAACAGATAAAGATTTATAACATCATATGACTATTTTGTATCATCCACAATCAGTTCACGCAATATATTGGCTTATGTTCTTTATTTTCAAATAATCTATGTCGGTTATCGAGACACACCGACTTTAACATTCAGTTCTCCTAATCAGGCATTACATTTTTCAAGTAGACGTTCGTTTACTGGTTATCCAGGTTTTTGATATCTAATAACATGCTTATTGATAATGATCTAACTTACATATTAACTTATTAGTAGAAAGTGTTTGTAGTTTGATTCATTTCATTGTCTCGTATTCACTTCAAGAGCAGTTTCACAGAGCGTTTAATCTAAACAGCTACTTAGTATATTAGAGTCGCATGTGACCATTTCAAGTAACATTATCATACTTTTCTAAAACAATGTTTGATTATTCTGTAGTGAACAAGAACACCAGTGGGAACAATCGAATGTATTTGAGCACAAAATTACAGGACTTGTTAATAAAATCTAACAATCATAAAGTAAATACGTAATTTGCAAAATGTCCATCAATAATCTCAAATGACTTAGACTTCATTGTTCTTGCATTTTCATACAAATTGCATCATATTTCCATTCTTTACTGTTCGATCCTCTTTGTCTCTCTTCTGCCAGACCTTCTGTTCACGACTAACATCATCTACTACTTATTTCAATATAAGCAGCACACACCACAGTTCTATAATACAGGTTGGCTGCATTACATTAAGAATTGTCACACACACACACACACACACATCGTATGTGTACAATTAAGCTCAATGAAAATAATCAGTTTGTTACAAATTAGTCATTTAAGAATATCGTCATTATTACAAATAATGTTAAACCTTCATAAAATACTATATGATTGCATCTGCTGACGTTGATCCACTGGCTTGTGGTTCGGATGTTCAGGTCGAAGTTCAAAGTGTGATCCTCTAAGAAGACCACCTGCTTCAGTCTGGGAACCGAGACAGTATCATAGCCCACACAAATCAAGTGACTTGTGTGGGGCATATCTAGGATCATATATTTGATGTGTATTGTTCTGATTTCGAGTCGATTCCAATGGCCATACTGAGATGAAGTTACATTCAGCTGACAATTTCATAATAGAATGAAACTCACGATCGAGATTTCACTGTGAGACATAATTTGTCTATCATGAAACCATGTTTTCATTAGCTTTATACTGATTGAGTAGAACGACATCATACACAAATTTACTTGTATAAACATCAAGAATGAGATGAGTACTTTGTACTTAGTGGTCATAGACGATGTTTGTTTAGTATGTATACAATATGCAGTTCCATCCTACGATCCAGATCACACTCTACTCTAATATACAATAATAATACGAAATGATTAAACGAATGAAGGCAGTTTATAATTCAATGATGATAACAGTGGAATAGATTACAGTAACTGGTAATGTGATGAGAAGTGCACTAGTTGTGATAGGAATAATAAAGGCTTGGATCATCAATGTGATATAATGGGAAGTAGGTCAACGATTAGACACTGAAATAACATTCATAAGATTAGGTCATAAGAAGTGATCAGATAATTGGACTGTGAATTCGTGTATATTCGTGGAAAGGAAAAGAGGTGGGAGGGGGGTGAAGTAAAGTAAACGTACAAGGATTATGCAATATAATGATAAATGAGATCATTTAATAAGGACAAGGGAGATATAAGGGAGTTAGCTCAAATTCCTATAGCTACTGCTATGTGTAACAGACGAGATCGAACCTCGTAAGGAAAACTAGTAGAAATAAGATAAATCATTTTAAATGACCTATTTCTGTCTACTACGTGACCACTATCGATTGAATGTGATTTGATTTAAATGACAAATGTTCTTGAAACTGAGACCCTGAAATAATGGTATATATATTCTACTGAATATTGTGAAGTGATCGACTAGTTTTCTTCTTTTCCATGGACGTCTGAAGATTTAAAAATATGCTTCGAACAATGTTTTTTTGCTTCACAATCACATTCAGCAGCTATGATATCTTGTCTATAATCACATATGATTGGTGATTTCTTTCATGTCATATTTGTATACATATTCACATTATACATCAAGTGAATCATATTGTAGATCACCAACGTAGATGATCTATGTCGAATGATTGTAGGTCTACTCGAGTTACACGGAAATGGTATAACGAACCAAATAAATTCGAAGTCACACACCTCGCGGTCAGAATGTAACTGGGTTTACGCCTTCGACGTATTAAAATACTATAGCTGCATTGAAAACTGTATAACATGAAAAATATTATTATGGAAATATATTAGTAAGTATGAGTACAGAGAAGATAGCGAGACCACCACCACATGTACTAGTCCATGACATAAGATTGATTGATACATGTTGGTTGTCCTTGACCTTGACGAGGATCGATGATCTATCTGATATTCAGTGACATAATTGCCGGGCGATTTGTCTAGGGCTCAATGACATTTCACTGGTCCTACTATATATATACTATACATTCGTGATGTATATTTATTCTAGTTTTGGAACTAGTTATGTTCAAACTGAGATGTTTATATGATTATCTCATTTTTACAATTCAATAGTCGATTTGTAAGACGTCAGATTCTCATCTTGAAGTGAACATCAAATTGGATGTAAGAACATTCTGTGGAATGAAACTCATGTTTCAATATATAAACTTATTTCCAATGTTTATGTCGACTATTGTAATGTTATTTGTTTGTATTTAGACCAGAAGTTCTTTATCAAAATAGTTTATTTATCAGTATAGTCATGTATAAATGTAAATTACATATGGTTACCTTCTTAAATTATCAACAACACATTTGAAGAACAAACATTGAGAATAACACAGAACAAAACTGAACAGAGTTAAAGATGAAGGAATGTAAGGGATTCCATGGTTTATAGTAAGATTTAGTTTATATTGTCTTAAATCTAGTCAAGTTTTATATTGATATACTGAAGTAGCTTCTGATAGTACTCCTAAAATAAATGATAGAAAAGATTATCATTAGTAAGATAGTAAGATAGTCGAATATAAGTAGTAGCTTCATAGTTGAACTAATGAATCGGTCTAAGATAGCAATGGACGATGTTAATGTTTACCTTCAATCAATACTTGTGATGCAAACTGTGAAAATACTACGATCTCTATAAATTCCTATACCGATAACAATCATATCCTTACTAAGAATCAGCTGCAAGATGTTACTCCCGGAGTTCTATTAAGAAGTGGTGACTAGTGGAGTCTAATTCGTGTCGGGTATGAGACAGTTATCCACTTCATATAATGGATGAAGAGTTGTACACGATTATGGATCGATTGAAATTAGACTTGAACACTATTGGATTCCGATCCAGTGGTCTGGATGTTAAGCGTTCGCGTATGAGACTGAAGGTCCTGAGTTCGAGTCACATATGTGGGAATGTGGAAAGGCGCTTCTGAGGAGTCCGATATTAAGACAAAAATGCCGTCCGGTGATTCCAGGTTTTCAATGATAGTCTAACTTCAACTATTCAACTATGAAAATACTACAATCTCCTTAAATCCTACTACTGATATGTAGTAGCATTTCAACTTACCATGTTTGATTGATTGTGCTACAGGGGAGGAAATATTATCAATGAGCTATTATGATATCAGTATGAATTTCAAGTTTTTGCATCTATTAATAACCTTTTAGTTTCTATATAACATGAACAATAGGTGAAATAATAATGAATACTAATTTAGTACAACTGGATCTTTAGCAAACAACTTTGATCCGTTTATGATTTGGTGATATTCCTTGTTGAATTCATACTATCTGCTAATAATAATAATAACGATTACATGAAGTCATACAGTCAGTGAAGTTTCACTGAACTCTAGACAAATCATCTGTCAAGTTGAGTACATCTTTTTTATACGAATAATTAATGAATATAGAATTACTTAGTAATCTTTAATAAAATCAAACATATGTAACGCTAATTGTTTGATGCATTCCATGAAGGACAGGTGACAGATGCATTCCAAGTGAGTACTAGAGTCAGACAAGACTGCCTAGTCTCTCCCTTTATATTTCTTCTGGTGGTTG